TACCTCTCATGTACTCAGTATTATAAAATATGATTTACAGCATTTCCCTGACATAATGATATATAGTGAAAAGTCTTTAAAACAAAAATCCTTAACAACTTAATAAAGTCCTAACACAGACATGTGTAAATTTTTGTTGTTGCTGTTATTGTTTGGTCCTCTGAGTTACGCCCCCTCCAAGGAAATATCTCAGCAAATTCTCCAAGGAGTACGCACGAAGGCACTAACCCCAAGCAACACATGTTGGTGTTTACTTAAAAAATGTTACTGACTTTGGAACAAAAGAGTATCAATCATTTTCACTGGGGCAGTTTACTATTTTGTCTGATTTTTCTCTTTTGTGTCTCTTTCCGTGGAAAAAAGAAGACTCTTTTACAACTCAAAACATCACAAATTTTGGCCATGATAAACACACAGTGATGAAGGCTTTCCCTGCATATGTACCCAACTGCTGTAACACACAGTTGCACTGGTGGACCTTTCCATAACCCTCTTACATGCGTGGCTCAGCCTTAATAAAATTAGAAGTATGAAAAGCTTGTCTTAGCTGATGCCGGCTATTCCTTTGCTTCCTCCACAAAGATCCATACCCTCCTCTCCCAGCTGCGTTCCCTCAGACACACGCACCCACCCTTAACCCAAGGAAGATTCATGAAGCTGACTGACTTCCTACCAGTTCTTCCCATTCGTCTTTTAGGTTTTGTTCCCTAGAAGTCTTCCAACACCCGATGATTCTAGGTCAGTAGTTCAACTTATACATAGCCGGTCAATGCAGTAAGAGTGTGTGTGTTGGGGGCGGGGGGTGTATTTACTTGTCAGTTTGTCCCACAAGACTCCCAACACCGTCAACAGCAGGGACAATGTTCTCTTGTTTGACTACTCCATCTTTAGTATGTACCATGCTCAATAAATATTTGCTAATGGAACAGTCTAATTTTAAATGCAGGAATACCATAGGGTCCCTGTGTGGCACAAACAGTTAAGCACTCGCCTACTAGCTGAAAGGCTGGCAGTTCAAATCCACCCAGAGGTACTTCAGAAGAAAGGCCTGGCGATAAGCTTCCGAAAAGTCACAGCCCTGAAAACCCTATGGAACAGCTCTACTTTGCGCACACGGGGTCTCCGTGAGTTGGAATCGACTCCATGGCAACTAACACCTCTCTCACAAAGCGACCAAAGCCCAGCCATCACACAGGCAGAGATCAAGGATGGAATTAAATACACAAATACCCTTTCCAAAAACAACCTATAGTCTGAGACTTGGGTATCATTTTGAAAGGAAAGGTTTTTTTGGTATAAAAGATTTTATGGCAAGCAGAAAGAGATGCTATAGAGAGTCCGAGGGACAAGAACACTGCAAGCTTGTATGCTGGTTCACCTATGCGCTTCCTAGTGTGGGCTGAGGTTAGGTTAATATTTAAAAACTTGGGAACAGTCCCGAGCTAAGCATATCCACTAACAATTTTAATCTGAGGACAAGCTCCACAATAGGGTCCAGAAAACGCATCTGTGAGCCGACACAAGAACAGTCTAAAAATGTGTTAGCAATTTCTTTGATGTGATGAAATGGGGACTGGTCAGATGCTAGCATACAGCATTTAGTGAAGAGAAAAGTAACATTTACAGCAAAGCATCCTATCACTAAGATTTTTAAAATAAACATGAAGTTCCTTTCAAACAGAAATGGAAAAAAGAAAAAAACTTGGTAAAATTACTCGCAAGGTTATAACCTGGAAGTCCCCAACTCTGGTTAGATTTGGATCCCTGGTGACTGCTTGTTTCAAATCAAAGATACTATCTAGAAGGATACTAACCTAAAGAAATGCTATACTTTCCATTATTTAGGGTGAAATAAGTTAATTACAGGCTACAGTGAACATTTTCCACATTAGAATCGACCACCGGATTTTTCTGCGTCCCTAAAATTGAAAGAATCAAAGGTTTGCTGTATGTGTGCACCTTTTTTTTTTTTTCCTGGGCAAAGAAGTAAAAATTTATGCAAAACACTACACGTTTACCTTTTATAATTAATTTCCAAATGCCTCACCTATCCATGTTTTAATAATTCCTGATTTATAAGATGGTATCTATAATAAAATTTTCTATTTTCCAATAAATGAAAAGAAGGCAGGTTCACTCCAACAACAGAGTGTCACACAATATCTGCTTGTCAGGCACCAATTTTTACTTCTTGCATGTAAGTTAAAGGATAAGGAATTTATAATGCTGCCTGTGAAGGGAACCACTTTTCATACACAAATGTGATCTTTTTTTCCCCCCCAAAGGGTAATACAACAGTACATTTACATAAACTAATCCAAACAATCTATGTATTTGACAATGGCAAACCTCACACAGACGGCCTATTGTTGGTTTACATCTTGGAGTTCTTTATATTGGCTTGTAGCGCAGCTCTAGCTGTCAAAGGTTTGACTTGGACTCTAAATAAATGGTTATAGAAGTGCTGTGCAGCGATATTGGACTTCTTTGCAAAAGAAAACCTGCTGTGTATCAATTCAAAGGCTATTAATTTTTCAGTCAAAAATATTCGTGCCTATTTCTTTTAATAAAGAAACACTGTGCTGAGGTACTAAGAGATAATGTTGACTAGTGGTAGAGAATTTTCAATAGGCAGTTAAAAATAAATTTAGTAGGAGGTCCCCTTCAAAGTTATAATTTTCTAGAATGTAAAACACTTTTTTTAATACTAATCAAGTCAAACGTTCCTTCCCTGTTCATTTCCCCTATGGCTGCTTTTCCCTGCTTGTTGGCTGCTTTACACTGGTCCTCATGGAGACTCCCAATGGTCCTTTTGTGGTTTATGGAGACTTATATATATGGCGCTGCCTGCCAACACCCAGCCTCATCACTCGTGGAGTGCCCCAAGGGGCTCTGCCATGACTTGTCTTTAGCTTTTTAAGGAGCCCTCCTGGCACAGTGGTTAAATCACTTGGTTTCTAACCAAAAAGGTCTGTGGTTCCAACTCACCAGCCGCTCTGCAGAAAAAAGATGTGGCAGTCTGCTTCCATAAAGATTACAGCCTTGGAAACCCTATGGGGCAGGTCTACTCTGTCCTATAAGGTCGTTGTGAGTCGGAAATGACTTGACAGCAGTGAGTTTTAGTGGGTTGGTCTTTAGTTTTATGCCTCTTCCTTCCAAGGAGCTCCATGATCAAAACCAGATTCATTCCTAGAGCTCAGAGTACCAACAATATTCTATTAATGTTATTTTTAATCCATGGGGAAAATAGGAGATAATCTCATTCTCTCCCTTTCTCTGTCTAAAGAAGCAAAGTCATCATCCTGGGAAAAACACTTTCCCTGCAAACTAAAGCCAGCTGAAGACTATCAGAGGATTCCAAGGAGACTGATGTCCATTGGAGAAGTCAGCCAAATCATTTCAGGGGTCTCACCAATTTGCTTAGCTGGGTTTGTGTTATTCCCAGTATCTTCCTTAAAAGGAGGGGGTGGTATCAATAGCACAGTTGACTACTGATTCCACAACACTGAGTAGCCTAGTCCTTTTTTATCCTTTCTTTTTACTAGCCCACACATTGAGTCCTGCAGTCATTTACTGTAAAATACATGGAAACTAAGGACTCTTTCCTAGTAAAAATGGACGCGCGAAGTGTTTAATGATTTTATGTCCTATATCTCAGTAATGTGTTCTGTTTCAGACATTAATTTTGTCTGCCAACTGCATCTTGGCAGGCTACCATATTTGCTGGGTTAATAGCCTGACTCCGTTTTATTTCTATCACCATAAATCATACATATATGGGTGTATGTTTGCTTTATTTATAGAAAAAAATCAGTCAAAACAGATAAACCAATACTTTGCCATTATGCTGCATCATTGCATATTGATTAAAATTGCTGGTACTAACTATAGATAGTCAACGCTCAATTAATTTTCACACAGTGACTCCAAGCAAAATCAAATAAAGGCAGTGTACCTTTAAATTTTACAAATCTTAAAATCAAGAAGCAAAGCACTCTCTCCATTTTGAATAATCAGTTGAAGCTACTAGGAGAGTTTTAGAAATGTAAGTATATGAGAAATAAAACTGTTAAAGAGATCAATTTATAACACAGAATGAGGCCCAAGACAGGATTTGGAGCTTAGATAACCACCCTTCCGCTTGGTTGTTAATTACCTATGCTTAGATGGTTAAGGATAAGTCAAAGGGAACAAAGCAAGAAAAAGGAGATTTGCAAAAATTCACACATAATTTCAGCATACCATGTCTGGTCTTCTAACTGCAAAGGAGCAATTTTCACTTCAAACTTCTTAGTAACTATGAGATACTCTCCATAATTTAGCCTCTAACTATTCTTACCGTTGAGTCCCTGGGTGGTGCAAATGGTTAATACACTTGACTGCTAACTGAAAAGCTGGTGAGGTTCAAGCCCACTCAGAGGCACCTTGGAAGAAAGGCCTGGCAACCTACTTCCAAAAAATCAATCACTGAAAACCCTAAGGAGCACAGTTCTACTCTGACACACAGGAGGTCACCATGAGCTGGAATCAACTTGACAGCAACTGGTTATTGGGACTGTGACATTCTGTTTCCCATGTGCTTCCTCTGTTACAGTCAGACTGTACTGCTCCTCACTCCCGTCTCTTAGCTTAGCCAGGATGAAATGCCTCTTTCTTCTGCCTTAGTGGTCTGGCTGCCTTCTCTGAGTTCCCACCATTCATAATGATTTTCTTCTTTGAATGAACTCCTAAGATACTTTAGTACCTCACTTTAGCACCAATCATTCTGTATCAAAGAAAAGCTGGCTGGGCCTTGTGGCAAGGACCAGGTCTGAAACATCCTGTTATCTCTCCAAATGCCTAGCACAGTGCCTTCATCATAAAAGGTAACCAGAAACAGTGATTGAACTTTAAATCTTCAACTCTCAAACCTACCAAAGTAAGCTTGGGTGGGGAAGCAGAGAAAAACATACTGTAAGGCATTTGGTTTTTCTTGCCACTTGGCGTGGATTGGTACTTACAGGCTGAGGGGCAGTTTTGGGTTCCGTAGACTTCACATGCAGATGGGTCATCATAGCTTGCAGGCGCTCTTTGTCTTTTGCAAGCTAGTAGGGAGAAAATGCTTTGTTACTTCTCTGAATACAAATGCATTACTATCTTAACATCCAAAAGGACATGTATTCCAAGTTAAACTATGGCACCATAGCGCATGAAAAAATCATTTTCCTTGCTTAACTGTTTTGAAATCTACACGACCATTGCCTAACTGCCAGTAACCAGAGGTGCTGGTGTGAGATTTCTCAACAGAAAATACATTAGCCTTTAACAGGGAAGTTGTAGACCAGCTGGCACCAAGGAGCCCCTTGTTAACACAGACAGCTAAAAGACAAAAGTGAATCATGCCTATTAGCCAACCTTCTTCACGAGGATGCCAGGGGAAAATGAGCTGGCGAGCTAAAACTCATAAATTCATCTGTTGTGGTTGTGGAGAAACTCCTAGACAGATGGATACATTTGTGCAAAATTAACTTCATCTTTCTTAACAGGTAGGCACAGATTAAAACGGCTAACAAATGAGATTCAAAGGGCAGGGGCAGGACTACAAAGGTAGATGGCTTTCCGTTTTCAGATGAACACAGAATAAGCTTCCTTATTCATTTCTTCAGTATTTGAGTACCTACTCTGTGCTAGTCTCATCTTAACAAAAATTTAAGTCTCTTGATTCTGTAAAAAAATACCCTCTGAAAGCACAGGAGATAGGAGTTTCTAACCGTATGTACACAGTAGGCACTCAAGTATTACTTTTTAGATACAAGTTTTGTTTTATACTTGCCGTGGATCATTTTAATCTTATGGTATTTTTGATAGCCTGAAACAGCTGGGCACAGGGGATATAAAATGATTATTTCTCTAAAAGAAACGGGGAATTTATCTACAAAAGATAAAGGTATAGTTAAGAAAACAACTGTGTGGTCTAGGGCAACTGTAGAAGAGATAAGGGAGGGGGAGACAGGCAGAGAGAGAACTGTCTTATGTCAATAATTTATAGACCATCTTAAAACCGAACAATAGTTTAGCTTAACTAGTTAAAAAGATCTGCCTTGAGCATTATGCTCTTTTAAGAACTATCTATATGGGATCAAACTGCCAACTGCCAACTCGAAAAGACCGGATGGGAACCTTAGGGGGCAGTGAGTTTATGTTAATGAGGGAGGAACAACTCAGAAAAGGAGGATGAGAATGGTTGTACAACTCAAATAATGTAATCAATGTCACTAAATGGTACATATAGAAACTGCTGAGTTGGTATACGTTTTGCTGTGTCTATTCTCAATAACAACAAAAATAAATAAAATTTAAAGAAAAAAGAAATGTATACACCATTTGTCCAAAATAATGCCTTACAACTGGGGAGGGACTCATCCCTCCTACATCATATAACCTTAAATCCTTTAAAAATCAATTAACTGATTTCTGTAAATGTAGAATTATCCCAAAATAAAAATGAAATAAGACATTTTTTAATACAGTTGTTATCTAAGGGGAGGGAGAGGGAGTTCAGGGACTGAGGGGGGACAGAGGAAAAGGAAAAAGGGTACAAAGCAGAAGAGAAAAACCCTTCTCTTAACCTAACTGGGTGACAGAGTCCTGAGCCATATCACATTTGATTTTTTCTTTTTATTCTCTTGTGGTTCAGGGATGAATAAATTAAAAAAAAAAAAAAAAGAAAGAAAGAAAAAGCCTTACAGCGTTAGCATTTATCTTTCAACAAACAGGAAATGAAAATGATACCATATTAGGAGCACTTTATGTTATTCATTCCCTGTTCCTTAGTAAGTTATTGAACAGCCAAACTAAAAGATGCTCTCAACACATAATGCTAAAGGAATTCAGTTTTCCAAAGTGGCTCAGTTAGAACAATTAAAACATGGGGAAGGGCATTTTCCTACAGTTATTTGTTTTCTGTGTAAGTGATCTAAATTTGGAGGTGTTAAAACTAAAACATACTTAACATTAACAAAAAATGTTTGGTTTCAAATTATTACAGGGCAGAAAGAATTAAGGCATAATAAGCCACTCTTTAAAAACAAGACATTTCTGCCATGCTGAACATTACGAATTAAAGGTATGAGAGGTGGTATTTACTGAAGAGTCTGCTGAATATTAAACCTGAGTTAATTTGGGGTAAACACTGTTATTGTAGCAATTATAAAGCAACTTGCTAGAAGAAAAATCCAAATGGCCAGTATCAAAGGGAGCCATCTCCTCCACATTTCACCCAAAGGCTGACCTTTTACTTGTCAAAGGTTATAACACTATGTTGCAAATACATACTCTGAACTTGTATACACAGCCATGTCCATAACCCTGGAAGTAACTACCATAGGGAACATTTCTCTATTTTTCCATGAGACCATTACTTAGATTCATCATCCATTTTGAAATTTATACAAGTTCCTTATTTTGCCTCAAACTGAATTTTACCATCATCTAAAAGATGAGCAAGGTGACAGAGAAAGACAAAAATGCAAGTATTTGTCTGGTTACTCCCAACTAACGTGTACTATCATATTCTTGGATAAGTTTGGAATTATTATTATACCTCTATTACAAACTGTTCAAACAATTAAAGATAAACCCTGTCAAACACACTTTTTTGTTTTTTAGGTAAAAAGGCCAAACAGTCACACCCATCAAAACCACACTGTCCCTCTTCAATGACTGTCTTGCATTTATAGTAAAAGCTTTCCAATTTTTTATTGCTTTTTATGCAATCATTCCATGACCTCACCATTCTCATCAATTTGCATGGCATCCTTTCATTATTATAATATGAGATTCCAAACATTCACTATTAACAAGCATATTCCAGCATTTCCTCATAAACTGTGAATCCCAGGAAAAGCAACAAAAAGGAGATGGAGAAAGTCAGTTCAAACGTCAAACGAAAACTTGGTTGGCAGTTCTTAAAAAAATTGTTATGCTGTGACAGAATAATAGAATTATCTCTGAAAGCTTTCCTGGTGAGTATGGAATGAGTATACGGCATAAAAGCAATGGCAAGAGGGCTATACATGCGGGTGAGCTGCTTGTGCCGGGTTTTGCTGTTTGTTTTAGTGAGTTAGTTTTTTCCCTAGTTCTGTAGAATGATGGCAGAGCAAAAATGGTTAAAGACATGAGCACGAGAAACAGACTATTTTGTTGTTAGGTGCCGTCAAGTTGATTTTCGACTCAAAGCAACCCCATGTGACAGAGTAGAACTGCCCCACAGAGCTTTCTAGGCTGCAATCTTTACAGGAGCAGATGGCCAGGTCTTTCTCCCACAGAGCTGCTGGGTGGGTTCAAACCGCCAACCTTTTGGTTAGCAGCTAGTGCTTAACCGTTGCGCCACCAGGGCTCCGTAGAAACATACTGTACTGGGCTCAAATTCTGGCTTTGTGACCCTGGGCACATTATGTAACCTTTTAAAATTATTTAGCTTTCCCTTCTAAATATGAACTAAGAATCCCTGAGCTTTGAAGGGTTGTTTTGAGAATCAGATGCCAAGCACTTCAGCTTAGCATAGTATCTAGTGTTCCGCGAATGTTCAAAAAAATACAGTTTTTTTAAAAAATAGAAAAGTTAAATTGGTCTAGTTTATCTAGACTTCTTCTGGCTGAATAGATGTTTGGAATCTGGATCAACATAACAGAAGCTCCACGGAGTCTGCAGCGAGGCTAACCGGGCAGAGAAATAATTTTGATGGTTTAAAGAACGAACAGAAAGGGTAGGAAAGATGAAGCCTATTTCTTATGGATCTATCCCTTCAGTTCTCATTGTGTCTTCCCTTCATCCTGGGAAAAGGCTTTGCCCCCCTGGCTGATACAGGTCATCCCCCCTTTTATTAGCCATGGCCTCAAACGAGGTTTCAGACAGTCCAGGCTGTGAGGGACTGGAATGTGTGCGTCACTCTGAACCGACTGATAGCTGCCGAGGGCTAGGCGCTTCCTTCAGCATCTTCAAAGACAGAAACTAAGCAGATTAAGTTCGTTGTTTCAGCAGAGAAAAGGGAACACAGTGTTGGGTCCATTTAGCACAATCATTTTATATGTTGTCAGGACGACTAATCATTTTAAGGCCAATTTGGCAGTTCTCACTCACGAGAAACAAAATCCTGCTGAAATGAACGAAGGATTTTGCACGCGGGAAAATGCTAGATAGAATTAGTCGGAGACAGATGAGAAGAAGAGGCCAAGCCACTCATTTGACTTCACAGAAGCAAAGGTTGTTGTGGCTATTTTGAGTCCTCTGGTCCAATTCTCTAAAGCAACTGACTGCTAAATGGAAGGTCGGCAGTTTGAAACCACGGGCAGCTCCAGGGGAGAACGATGTGGCAGTCTGCTTCCATAGAGATTACAGCCTTGCGAACCGTACGGGGTCGCTGTAAGTCACAACTGACTCGACGGCAGTGGGTTTGGTTTTTGGGAGTCCTATTCTTAGGAGCCCTGGTGGCGCAGTGGTTAAAGCACTTGGCTGCGAACCAAAAAGGTTGGTGGTTTAAACCCACCAGCTGCTCTGCAGGAGAAGATGTGGCAGTCCGCTTCTGTAAAGATTACAGCCTTGGAAACCCTATGGGGCAGCTCTCCTCTGTCCTATAAGACCACTGTGAATCGGAATTGACTCAGCGGCAGTGGATTTTTCAGTCCTATTCCCGGGAGTCCCTGGGTGGTGCACATGGTTAACGCGTTGGCTGCTGACCAAAAGGCCTGAGGTTCCAGTTCATCCAGAGGCACTCTGGAAGAAAGGCCTGGTGGGCTACTTCTGGAAAAATCAGTCTCTGAAAACCCCCTGACACACAGGGGGTCACCATGAGTAGGAACTGACTCAACAGCAACTGGTGGTCAGTCATGGTGGTAGTCCTGTTCTCCTATTTTATAATTGGGGAAACGGAGGCTCATAGAGGTGACTATAACTGAGGCCATGGAACTAGGAAATGGCTGAAATAAGACTAGAATCTGAGTTATATGATGCTTGGTCTGGTTTTCCCACACTGGTGTAATCACAAAAATCACCTGGGACACTAACTAAAAACGCAGACCTGTGGGGCCCCCACAAAGATTCAGAA